CAGCTGACTGTATGTGGTTGGATTTCCTTCTGGGTTCTCAATCCTGTTCCATTGATCTATGTATCTTTTTTTTTGTACCAGTAACAGGCTGTTTTGACCACTGACATTATATAGTAGATTTTGAGATGAGGGAGTGTGAAGCGTCCAACTTTGTTCTACTTCTTAAGCAGTACTTTGGGTCTCTTTCCTTTCCATATAAAGTTCATAATCAGTTTTTCCATCTCTTTAAAAAATGATGTTGGAGTCTGGATTGGGATTGCATTATATGTATAGATGGCTTTGGGTAGTGTTCACATTTTCACAAAGTTAATTTTCCTATCCATTATTGTTGTTGTTATGTGTCGTTGAGTCAGTTCCAACTTATAGAAATCAGTATAGAGTTTCCAAGGAGTGACTGGTGAGTTTGAACTACCGATCTTGTGGTTCAAACCGACCTTGCAGTCCTGCGCTTATTCTACATTGCCACACCAGAAGTTTATTAGCATGGTATATTCTTCCATTTTTGTAAGTCTCTTGTGATGTCTTGTAGTACTGTTTCATAGTTTTCTTTGTATAGGTATTTTGTTTCTTTGATTAGATTTATTCCTAAGTATTCCATGTTTTGGGTGGTTATTATAAATGATATTGTTTTCCTAATTTACTTTTCAGAGCTGTCTTTATTAGTATAGAAAAATGCTACTGATTTTTGTAGATTGGTGTTGTACCTTGCCACTTAGTTGAATCTTTCAATAAGTTCCAATAATTTTCTTAATCAGTCTTTGGGATTTTTCTATGTATAGCATCATATAATTTGCAAATAGAGAGCTTTACTTTTTCTTTGCTAGTTTGGATGACTTCCAACATAATATTGAGTAGGAGTGGTGGTGCTAAAGGGCATCCTTGTCTGGTTCTTATTTGCACAGGGAATGTTTTCTGTTTCTCTTCATTGCGAGTAATATTGACTATTAAGAGTATATATACTGTGATACAGGGATTGAGGCATAGTCTGAATGGATAAAAGAGGGGAAATAATGTTAAGATGCTTGACTGTCTTATAAATATTTGTTTTCCTTGCCTACTATTGTAAAATAGACACTTAGCGGGGTAGAAAGGAATATCCAGAAACATGACTATAGAAAACTTGTAAGCCCACCTTCAGCCTATAACTGATTGCAATACCTAAAAGGGATGTTAGAACTTGCCCAGTGGAGGAAGCTTCCTGTGGAGCCTTTGTAGTGTATAAGACCTTAGGTGGAATCCTGATTCCCATTCATAATCTTCTGAAGTGGGAAGTTTCCACTTGGAAAGACAAGCAGACCAGCCTGGAGCAGCTAGAGGAAGAGAAGATACTTCTTGAAAGAAAGACCAGCAGGAAAAAACAAAACAAAAAATGGCAGTCTGATTGGCTACCACAAGAACAGCAAGTTGTGTGCAGGAGAGCCATCAAGGCAAGCAATCAAGTCCCTTCAAACAAACCCTCTCCCAAGACTGAAATTCAAAGGGAATACACAAATAGGCATGTAAGGTTGCTGGTGACCATGCTGGTCAACTGGTGAGTGGAAGTGGAGGAAAAACAGCAATAAAGATGTGGGTTGAGTTTGACCACATTACATAGACTCCCATTGGTCTGGAGTATGGTGAGAGCTGGTTGACTCAAAGTATGGTGAGACCTGGGGACTCGTGAGCCCATGTTCAAGGATATGGCCATGGAAGGCTTGAGCTGACAGTGAAGTGTCCAACTGATATGAAGTGAGGAGCAATGCACAAGGACGCCCAAACTTGCAGATCATGCCCGTTTTACCTAGCCTCAGTGGCTGGATGATCAGAACCTGACTAGAGAAAGATTTTTTTTTTATTTAATGTTTTTATTATTATTAAGAAAACAATTGTAAGTCACTACAATCTGATGAACTTGACCTATACTTATGGATGTAGTAGCTTAAAATACCAACCAAGAGGGAAGGAATCTTCACAGCAAGGATCATTCCCAGCTCCTCTTTACACAGGGTTGATAGGAATGGGCAACTTAGACATTGGCTGCCTAAAATGCGGGTTTGTAAAGGCACAAAGTGACTGGCTTACAAGTTTTCAATAGGCTGGGTTACTTAGTAGTTTCCAGGAGTTCAATTTTGGAAAACTTTTGCTTTATTTAAGGAACTTGGTGGCAGAGTGGTTCAGCGCCTTACTGTTAACCCAAAGATTGGCAACTTGAACCTGCCATCAGCTCTGAAGGAAAAAGATGTGGCAATTAAAGTCTAGAAGAAGACCCTATGAGGTGTTCTACTCTGTCCTATAGGATTGCCATAAATTGGAATCAACAGGGTTTACTTTACCAGGGAAAATCCCAAACTCTACTTGTGAAAGAAACTTGTGAAATTGCCTTTAGGGGCCGCTAGCTGTCAGCCTTTTCCTAACACTGGGGAAGGGGAGGAGAAAAGGCAGATAGTAATGATGACATCAGCAGGAAACTAGTATCAAATTACAAAAGCCAGAAGCTCTCCTTTTCAGTTGCTTTGCCAGCAGTAAGTTTTGCATGTTCTTCAGAGCACATGGGAGTTTCTTCTTGCAAACTGGGAACATACCTAGGACTGGATTTTAATTTTCCTGAGTACCATCGACCTCTAGAGGACCAGTGGGACTTCATCAGAAGGTATGGATACCTTTCCCTTCCTCAGTCTCATGCCCTAGTCTTTCCCTTTGCTTCATGTCATAAAACTTGAAAAAATTTCTTCTCAGCATTTATCTGCCAGGCAAGGGAAAAAGAAATTAAACACGAAAACAAAAATTGTTGGCTCCAACACAACCTTGTATTAGCCAGAATATGTTAGTCCACAAACAGAGATGAAGTTTGACTGACTCAGTAAAGGGGTCAGAATCTTCAGGAAAATATGATGCTTATTAGAATTGAACAATGTCTCCCAAAAAATCCAATCAGTTGACTTTGGGCATACTTGAAGAGAAGATCCTATGAATAATGGCATGAAAAATAGCTTTTCTTCCCACCTCCCAACAACAAAAATAATAAATGTTCATTGCATAAAATTTGAGAAGGTATGGCAGTGTGGATTAATGCGCCTGACTGCAAAGCCATTTGAACTGCAAGGTTGGCAGTTCAAGCTCACCAGCTGCTTCTCAGAAACCCTGTATAGGGTCGCTATGGGTTGGAATCAATTCAACATCACTTAACAACAACAACAAGAAAATGGACATTGGAATTGATTCACTAGCAATGGGTTTGGTTTTGGTTTTGGTTTTGGTTTATAATGATGGTGGTGGTGGTTATGTGCCGTGGAGTTAGTTCTGACCCATAGCGACCCTGTACAGGGTTTCCGAGGCTGTAAATCTTTACGGGAGCAGAAAGCCTCCTCTTTCTCCCGCGGAACAGCTGGTAGTTTCGAACTGTTGACCTTGCGGTTCGCAGTTTGGTTTGTAACCTCTATACGACCTGGAATTCTTGCTATTGCCGTTTTATTATTGCTATGTTCTCCTTTCTTTCAGAAGTACTTTCCTTATTCTGAATATAGCCAAGCGATGCACAGTGACTACATTCCTCAAGTCCTTAGGGAAGGAGTTTTTATCAATTCCTCTAATTAGAGCAAAACTGAGTGTAGGGAAGACCACAGCCTATTAACTGATTAGGTGGAAAGACTGATAAGCAACTATACCTTCCTTGGACTTCTGGTGTGGTGCTGTGGATCAGCACTGGACTGCGAATCATAGGGTCAGCAGTTCAAACCCACCAACTACTCCTTGGAAACCTTATACAGGGTAGCTATGAGTCAGAACTGACTCAACAGCACTTCACAACAATAACAACATACTGATCTTGGAGTCCTGATATGGGCTGTAGGATAAGCACTGGACTGCAAACCACAAGGTTAACGGTTCAAACCCACCAGCTGCTCCTCAGAAACCTTATATAGGATCTCTATGAATCAGAACTGACTAGACGACAATTCTGATCTGAGCAATTTTTCCTAAAACTCCCCTTCCCTTCTGGGGTCTGGGATTATGTCTTCCATTTCTGTGAGATAAAGACCTGCCCAAGGCTAGCCTTCTAAATTTAAGGATGTAATGAATGACTCCAGGTAACCTCATTGTTTTTGTGTTGGCAGATACTTCAGAAGAACTCACCTCCATGTTGCCTCATTTCTAAAATTTATAACATAAATCCAAGAGCCATTTCTGCATTAGGTGGGAATGAATTTGTGCTCGTAAGCTCCAGTCAGGCTATCAGGTCTGAGAATAGCAGACTGGCCTTCTCCTTGGCTAGCACCACCGGGGACATTTTGATTAGGAAGAAATCAGGGTAAATTGTTGTTGTTAAGTGCCGTCGAGTCGGTTCCGACCCATAGCGACCCTGAACAGGGTTTCCGAGGCTGTAAATCTTTACAGGAGTAGAAGGCCTCATCTTTCTCCCGCAGAGCAGCAGGTAGTTTTGAACTGCTGACCTTGAGGTTCGCAAAGGTAAATTGAGTTCCAATAAAAGCTCCCTTCCCCCCTCCTAAGGAGTCCTGGTGCTGCGCTGCAGGATAATGCACTGGACAGCAAGGTCGGTCTATTGTTCAAACCTACCAGCCGCTCTTTGTGAACCCTCCACAGGGTCACTATGAGTCGGACCCGACTTGACAGCACTTCACAACAAGAACACTCCTCCTAAAGGATCACAGACGAACTCATGTTGGGGTGGAATTTTCTAGGCTGCTGGTATTTGAAGTAACCTTCTTGTTGTTGTTAAATGTTGCTGAACCGGTTCCGACTCATAGTGCTCCTGTATAGGATTTCCGGGGAGTACCTGGTGGGTTTGAACTTCCAACCTTGTGGTTCCAAGTCCAGTACTGATCCTACAGCGCACACCAGGAGTCCGAAGTAGATTTATTGGAACTTTTATTTTATTTTATTTTTAGCCCTTCCAGTAAAGTCTAATTCTGGGAACAGAGGCCACCAGGACTGGAGGAGGGACTAGGAAGTTAAAGTGTACCACGTGTCTTCACTCTCTAAGTTCCTCTTCCTAGTTGGCCATGGCATCTCAAGGTCAAGGTCTGGACAACAGTCTGGAGGAAAAGAGTAGCATAGATTTTCGCCAGAAGCTTCTGAAGATTGATAACAGCCTGGGGTTCAAAGATGTGGAGGCGCTAAAGTTTCTCTGCCGAGACTTACTCTCGCACAAGAAGCTGGAGAAGTGCAGCTCAGCCTTGGAGATTTTTGAGCTGCTTTTGGAAGAGGATCAGCTGAATGAGGAGAACCCCTACCTCCTGGTGGAACTCCTCGATACCATCAGGCAGAAGTCATTGCTGCGGCATCTTGGGTACTCCAAACAGCAAGTGCATAGCATGCTGTCTGGCCAGAGGAGGGTCTCTAAATTCAGGTAAGGAGGGGATCTGTGATTAGGACAAGAGAATTTTCGATCTCCCCTCCTACTTCATCCTGAAAACATCCAGTGTACATTCAGACCATTGGGCTTTGAAAGCAACATGGATTAAGATCCTTTCAGCATCTTCCTCTGTGGCTGGTCTAGCGATTCAAACAGAGGATTTCTCAGCTTCACTGCTAATGGGATAAAGATTGGGAGGCCATCTCTGGGCCTGCAGGTTCTTTGCTTTGTTTATAAATTAGGTTTTTTGAAGTTTTATCTTCTTCTGTTGCTGATGTTGTTATCCAGTTGATTCTGTCGCATGATGGTCCCATGTGTATTCCACAGGGTTTTCAAGGAGTTAGTTATGACTCAAGTTCTGAGCAGAGGCTGATGAACTTGAACCACCGATCTTGTGGTCCAGTGCTTATCTTACGGTGCCACACCGGAACTCCTTCAGCTAGTCATATAATGCTTAACTGTTTGTATGGACCAGCCAGGGAGCCTCTTCCCTTTGTTTTGCTTTTCAGTATCTGGTGAAGCTCACCTCAGTCCACCTCAGTCTAGCAGAACCTACTGTTTTTCTTGTTTATTATCCTCAGGTCGCTATAGGATAAGCACTGGACTGCAAACTGCAAGGTTGGTGGTTCAAACCCACAAGTTAGTCTTCAGAAATCCTCTACAGGGTCTCTATGAGTCAGAATAGATTTAACACTGTCAGAAAAAGCCCTGGTGATACTGGTTAAGTACTTGGTTGCTAATCAAAAAGCTGACTGATCTCACTAGCCACTCCAAAGGAGTAAGACATGGCTGTCTGTTTCAGTACAGATTTATAGCCTTGTAAGACATGGGGGCAGTTCTGTACTGTCCTTTAGGGTCAACTATGAGTCAGAATTGACTTGATGACAATAGGTGGGATACGGTCAGATGGGTGGTGCAAAGAGTTAATGTGTTAATGGAATGATTGGCATATAGAGTTCACCCAGAGGAGCCTTGTAAGCAAGGCAATCTATTTCAGAAAAGTCTGTCATTGAAACCATATGGAGCAGAGCTCAACTCTAGTACCCATGAAGGTTCCAGGAGTAGAAATTGACTTACGCTCTCAGGCACTTCTTCCTCTGCCCTCCGCTGGTATTTCTGCCTCCACCCAGTGATTTTGAGAAGAGAATAATACATCCTTGGAGCCAAATAAACAAATGAAAGAGATGTACCTTGGGATGGGGGTGGGGGAGTTAATACATTTTTTAAAAACACATTTTTGGATAAAAGAAATTCCAAACCCAAAGCCAAACCCCTGCCACTGAGTCTATTTAAGCTCACTGTGATCTTATTTCAGGCAGAGTAGAACTCTTTAGAATTTCCAAGACTGTAAATCTTTATGGGAGCAGACAGCCTCATCTGTCACCCATGGAGCAACCAGTGTATTCTAACTGCTGACCTTGAAGTTAGCAACCCAAGACTTAATCCAAAGCACCACCAGTTAAGTAAAATGTAGGCATTTTGCCCCAAAAGATAAAATATAGACATTGGGCTTATTAAAATATAGGTCAGATCTTCAATCGGGGTGGGGAACATTTTTTCTACCAAGGGTCATTTGGCTCTTTATAACATCACTCATGGGCCACGCAAAATTATCACCTTAAAAATTAGCTTGCTATATTCTGATCAAACATTTCATTAACTCCCCTCTAATGTGATGGCTGAAACTATGGTTACTTTGGCAGGGGCAACCCAAATGATTCTGCGGGCCTTATCCGGCCTGTGGGCCAGATGTTCCCCAACCCTGCCTTAGAAGGCACTGTTTTACATTATTCCCTGATGTAATACCTCTATCAAAAACCCTCACAAGGAGGAGCCTTGGAAGTGTGGTATATGGCTCTGGGTGATTAAACACTCTAGGCTTTAGTACCTGGAACCAAGTCCCAGAACCTGACTTGGGTCAGTGATAGAACTAATGGAATTTGGAAATCCTCATTTCCACTCCTCTGGTCAGAGTCGACTCAGTGGTGGGTTAAATATCTGAGGCATGGTTACAGGTATACAGAGGTATTTGTGTGTAAGTGAAGTATTCAATTCCTCTGCTTGTTGGAGATATGAATATCCAAAGGTTTGGGGCTTCCCACCTGTTTCAGCAATGGAGTTTGTACTGGGTGGTTTCAGGTCTTCTCTGCTGAGGCCCCATAAACTAATGCCATCCAGTTGACTCAGACGCATAGCTGCATTAGAGGACAGAGTAGAGCTGCTCCCTAGTGTCGCTGAGACGGTAAAGATTTCAGGAGTAGACAGCATCATCTTTCTCCTGAAGAGTAGCTGGTGGGTTCAAACTGCTGACCTTATGGTAAGAAACCCAACACTTAACCCATTGCACCACCAGGGCACCTTGATGGTTTGTAAAGTAAGTCTAAATTTCTAGAATGGAGTCAGGAGATGAGAGGGCATTCTGAAATGTTTCAGGTCTTCCCAGTTGAAGTCCTGGTGTGGCACTGTAGACTAAGCACTGGACTGCTAATGGAAAGGTCAGCAGTACAAACACACCAGTCCCTCTTTGGAAACTCTATACAAGGTGGTTATGAGTCAGCGCCAACTCGATTGCACTTACTGTGTTCAAATAAGTCATTTAGAAACTCAAAGTCTTACTTTTTGGGTCTGTCAAGTGGGACTAATAATTGGCTACTCACACGGTTGGGGTCATTCAGATATGGGGTGATGTTTATAAAAGTGCTTGGTGCTTTGAGTGTGATGCAAGTGTGCCCTTTCATTCATTTTGGGTACATTTTCAGGAAACTGCTCTATGAGCTGTCAGAAGACATGGACTCCGAAAGCTTAAAGAGCATGATCTTTCTCCGGCCGAATGTGTTTCCAAAAACTGAGATGGTGAGTGGGTCATGTTGAATGAGGTCATGTGAGCACTGCCTACTCAAATGAGGTCATGTGAGCACTGCCCTTCGTCAAAGATTGAGAAACTACTGGAAAGGGTTTTCAGAAAGACTTCTGTTTTTTGCAGGAGGCATTATGATACAATGTGGTTAGGAACACCAACCTCAGGGTCAGATGGGCCTCGATTTGACCCTGGCTCTACTGCAAGCCTCCTGACATGAGTCAAGTGATTAGATCTTTCTGAGTAGCTGAAATAATGTGCATAAAGCATTAGCCCAGAAAGTATATTTGTAACAAGTAACCACTTAGTCTGGAGTCTCTGGATGGTGTAGCTGTTAATGTGCTTGGCTGCTCTTTGAAAGGTTGGTGGTTCCATTTCACCCAGAGATGTCTTGAAAGAAAGTTCTGGTGATCAGCTTCTAAAAAGAAAGTAGCCACTGAAAACCGTATGGATCATAGTTTTAGTCTGACGCATGGGTTGCTATAAGTCACAATCAACTTGATGGCAACTGGTTTCAATATATTCATAAGGGGTAACTTTTATTGGGGTCCTCTGATATAGGAATGTGGGACACTACAAGAGGATGAGGATGGGAATGATTTATTCATCATCTACATTAGGAGAGGTTTCTGAGGAAGTCTGTGGTGTCCTTTTTAGTTCATTTCACTCAAAAACGCTTAAAAACATTTCAGTGTTTCTGTGAAAATAGAATGAGACAAATGTTGTATTTTGTCAAATATTATACAGGTATTTTAAGTTAATAATGATATTCTTAATATTCACTTATAATGGCAGTCTTCTAGTATTGTTGCTAGGTTGGTCACATTTAAGAGCAGGAATGTAGTTACATGTCTGTCTTCTAGGTCTCAAAATTTAGTATATTTACTTTTGGTTCTAATAACAACGTATGGTAAATAAGTCAGTTAATTTGGGAAGGGGGCAATTTTCAATTTTACCCTATAATATTATCTTGATTGTATCATTTAATTGCTAATTTTATTAGATTTTAAGCCCTGTAATACTTGATAATATAGATGAATACCTGTAACATGTATGTAGGTTATAAAATGCAATAGAAAGAGCAGCCATGAATTTAGGAATGAGAGCATCACCAATGTACTTAAGCCTGTCTGTGTAGTCCTTCCCTATCATATTTACCCCAGATCAACCGATAGTGTGAAGGGGCTTCAAAAGTTAGTGTAAAAATTCCATTATCTTTTCATTCCACTTTTCATGAATTTTTTGGAAGTTTGTCATGTTGACAAATGTCGTTGTTTAAATCATGGGTATCATGAGTCAGAATTGACTAAATGACAATGGCAAAGCCATTTGAACTGCAAAGTCCATGGTTCAAGCTCACCAGCTGCTCCTCAGAAACCCTATACAGGGTCGCTATGGGTCAGAACCGACTTTACGGCGTTTCATAGCAGCAGCATCATGGAGGAGTGGGAAGCTGTTTTACATGTAATAAGTTGTGGCACTGGACCACAAGGTCAATGCTCAGTACATTTGCATTGCTGTTGTTGTTGTTAAGTGCCATTGAGTCGGTACTGATTCATAGTGACTCTGTATAGGTTTCTGAGGAGCAGCTGGTGCTTGTAGTTCAAAGTGACCTTGCAGTCCTGCTCATTAACGCTCATTAACTCCAAATTTGCATTAGTGCAAAACAATTACCTGCTAAAGCAACATTTTATTTTAAATGTATAATTTCTTAAGTTGGAGAAGATTCCTGTCATTTGAGAAAATAGCTCAAGTTGATTCTAATTGAATCCTTTCCTAACTTGATGCTCACACATTTTCCAGTCTTTGGTTTTATAAATAAAATCAGGACACATTTAGAAAAAATTTTTTGTTGTTGTTATGTTTTCTGTAAAAGTTTACACAGCAAATTAGGTCCATATCTGATCATTTCTACATAAAATATTCAGTGACATAAGTTACATCTTTCAATGTGTCAGCATTCTCTTTAATTGTGTCTGGTTGTTCCATTTCCGGTGCTCTAGTTTCCCTGCTCCCGTTTCATCAGTGATTTGAAGTAATTGTAGACTTTATGGTTTGTTTAATGAAGTACCATACTCACAAGTAATATCATTTATTTTGGGTGCCAGCCTGTTATTTCACTAAAAGGTGACCACAGCATAGTTTTCAGTTCAAGGTTTAGAAATTCTCTCAGAGTGATAGTCTCAGGGAGTTCTCTAGTCTCAACTGGGCCAGTAAATCTGGACTTATTAAGAATTCGAATTCTGTTTGTCATTTTTCTCTTGTTCTATCAGAACCTTGATCAGAACAGTTAGTCGTGGTAGCTGTATATCAGTTCTGGTCTCAGTTAGGTGAGGCCATGGCTCGAGTAGGCTAGTAGTCCTATAGAACAGCTCCTTCCCTGAGACTTTGATTTCCTCCTTTCTCTTTTACTCCTGATGAGTAGAGACCATCAGGATGAGTAGTTGTATCTTAGGTAGTAGCTTGCAAGCTTTTAAGACCCTAGACACAACTCACTCACTAGGATGCAGACTATGAACTTTATGGACTGTATTACACCAATTGCATAAGTTGTCCCATGAGACTGAGATCCTAAGTCCTCAAACCAGAAACCCAATCTCTCAAGGTGCTTGATTATGTCCTTGAAGTGTCTGTAAATGTGTCTTCTATGACCATATATGTGTGTACACATAAATCTGTACTTGTATAGGTAGATATTTCTATCTATGTATACATACTAACTCACCTGCACTTACAAATATATACAGCTACATATGTGACCATACATTGTTGGTTGCCTTTGTTTTTTTGAAAGGTAGACTTTTTATTAACGCACCTCTCTCCAAACCATGGACACAAGTCCTTACTTTCCAGGGGACACAGGGTGGGAAATAAAGGGAATAGGGCATTTGTTAAAATGCCTGATAGCTCAACACCAAGCAGTGACTTCCACTAAGAAATACTGGAGAATGAGTGTCTTCCTCTTTTGTTTCTACATAGACCCAGTCCTCAGCTTGAAGGCATTGTGGCCAAAGGAACTTCTTTTTTTTGGTTCCTTCTTCTTTTTGGATGTGTGCTTTTATTGCAAGAAACTGTCCTCTCAGCACTGCTTTCGCCGTGTCTCAAAGATTATGGTATGTTGTGTTTTCGTTCTCATTTGTGTCTAGGAACTTTGTAAATGCATGTTTTATATCTTCTACTACCCAATCGCTTTACAGCAGGGTGTTATTCAGTTTCCCATTATTTGACTTTATTTCCCTGGTCTTCCTATTGTTGATTTCTAATTTGATAGCATTGTGGTCTGAGAAGATGCTGTGTAGTATTTTGATGTTTGTAAATTTATGGAAGCTTGTTTTGTGGCCTAACACATGGTCTATTCTGGAGAATGATCCATGTGCACTGGAAAAGAATGTGTATTATGTTGTTGTTGGGTTGAATGCTCTGTACACATCTATTAGGTCCAGTTGGCTGATTGTGTTGTTTATTTCCTGTG